GAAGAGTGTGTAAGAGGAGTCGAGATGGGCGGGCCTGACAATGGCCGGGCCGATGGCGGTACAGGCAAGTGGGATTATCTGTTTTGATCTCGCCGGCCCTCGAGACGCAAGTGGCTCTCGGACGACCCGTTCGGCCGCCGTTTCTGCCCCTCCGACGCATCCTCCGCCACCACCTCCACCTTCAGCTCCAGCTCAAACTATGACTCCAGCCTCCAAGAAGCAGGCCGCCGGAGGGGTGGGCAGCAGACGGACTCGGAGTGGGCAACTGTCGAGGCAAGTGACCCTGTCGCCAGCACTTTTGGCACCACAGGCATCTTTATATGTGTGTGAGACAACGAGGTAGATAGCTAGACGGATGGGGAGGTGGAGAGAGAGAGAGAGAGGGTGAACTGTGAGCAGGCCAGCACTACTAATCGCTTTCTCTCGCGGATCACGGGACCTCAGAGATGGCCCCGCACTCTATGTTTTACGTCACTTTGCTTGTGTGCCCCGGTGCTGGCAGGCGAGATGCATACCCTCTTGATGGACACGTCATCAGATATAGAATCGGGCCTGGAGTAGAGGCGAGACGGGCGCGGACTCGAACTCGAGTCGGGCTCGTCCGAGTTTCGTCGGCTGCTCAGAAGGCGACGAGGACTCGAGAGGATGACGCCTCGACGAGTTGGAGATAGGCCGGCTGGTTATGTGTGTGTTAGTCGAGCTCAGACTGTATAGTCCGACAAAAGGGAAATAATTTTCATTGCCAAATAGGCTGCCATGACTACCAGTAGAGCATATATATGCATATGAGGTTCATTTAGCCTAGTTCGTTTATGGTGGTAAGGGGACGGGTGGAGGAATCTTCACGCAACATCAACATTTCCTGTAAATCACACGCAAAATGATGACAGCTCATCGAGATCCAGTTATCATTTCCACATACTAAATAAGTGAATTTGAATGATGATTGAACTGGGGATTAGAACTGACTGATTATGAAAAAGATTCCATCTTCAAACTGACACAAAGTGGAACCAGCTCAGTGCTTGCATAAAGCAGTCGCATTTTAAGATTATTCGTTTCCAAGTCGGCTTCCCAGAATACCACTCGAGCATGTGTGTCTGAGGTGTGTTCGGCCTATTTCGCATTTTCCCACAATCAGGTGAGTAGACAGGCCATTTCTGCAGAATTTCGCATAGCCTTACTTGCCCTAAAGTTGTTCTCAACTTCGTCTCAACTGGTCGCGTCAGCACGCCCAGCGGGACTCGAACCATGCTGGTGAAGCGTATTGCCGCGGCACGTTTATGCGCCAATAGGACTGGATAGACCCGCCACCAAGCCACATTTACGCAACTACCAGTCCTCTTGTTAGTCGCAATGAAATAAGCCCAAACACACCTCAGACACACATGCTCGAGTGGTATCCTTGGAAGCCGACTTGGAAACGAACAATCTTAAAATGCGACTGCTTTATGCAAGCACTGAACTGGTCCCACTTCGTGTCAGTTTGAAGATGGAATATTTCTCATAATCAGTCAGTTCTAATGCCCAATTCAGTCATCATCCCAATTAACTTATTTATTATGTGGAAATAATAACTGGACGTCGATGACTCGCTCGAGCCGTCATCATTGCGGAGTCTTTCATTTCGTGTCCCAGTCCATGAGACGGACGACTGTGTGATTTGTGTGAAATGTGGTCATTTTCTATCCCATAATGACTCGCAGAATTTTCCGCTTTGAGTTTGTCTCGAGGCTATTGACAGGAGCGCAAGTTGACCTTGTCGGGATAGTTGAAGAGCGCCAAAATTGGAGTAGAACAGAACCTCGGATCGAGGCTGGCTGGCTGGCTTGGGTAGACGTTGAACGAGACCAGCTTTGAGTCGGTCGTCTCTAATCATAGGTCCGTCGAGTTCACCGCCTCCGAGGAGACGTGACAAGAAGACGTGAGAAGAGGGAAGACGAAGACGAAGACGAAGATGAGGCGGGCTGGCGCGAAAACAACCGACCGACCGCAATACTGTCTGGCCGGCATGAAACGCTACTTCTCCGACCGTTGCTGGCCCAGAGACCGCGAAAATAGGGTTTCAACACCGACTGGACCAGACGTCGGCACTTCACCC